CCCCAAACTCCTGGGCTCAGGTTTCTCAGGTGTAGATGGTGAGCCCAGTGAACTGGTGAGCATTAGCCAGGTCCTTCATGGCTAATCTGTGATGCATGCTTTATTCTTGCAGTGATGTTCAAGCCTTATTCGTTCAGTCATATATTTGTGTGTCTACCCTAGTCATAGTGTGTAGTGGAGCAGCAAGAGCAACTTTGAGTTCTCTGAAGACACCCCACTTCCTTTCTCTCAGTGAACAGGCACAGGTAGAGGCCAGAGTTTTCTCTTCCTGCTGCTGTCTCTAGCTGTGGGATCTAAAATAAACTGTTGATGATCTCTTAAGGTCTCTTTTGTTCTGAATTTTTACATCTGTGACATAGTGGGTGAGAAAAAAACCAAACACACAAAAAGAACAGACAAATCCTAGAGACCTAAGTTCAAAATTTGGTACTGTTTTTACAAGGCTACTTAGAGTGCCTCGGGCTGAGCCTGAAGATGGCCTTTCACCTACTCCCTCCTCCCTTTCTCCATAGATTAGATAGTCAAATTAAGATTGTAGATCCTGGATGGCACAGCCCCAGGAGACAGTTACATTATGTATCCTTCTTCCTTTTCTGCGCATGCCCTGATCACTAGACAATCACATTCAGCATATGCCACATAGGTCACAGTGGCACTAGTTATCCCAACTTCCTACAGTATAAATAAAGAGCACTCTGGACACCAGGTGGCCATTAGCTCATCAGGCTATGATCCCACCTGGTCCCAGCTATAAGGCATAATTTTGCCTTCTTTCTTATTATTTTCCAATTTTCTTCATCTCCCACTGCTCTTCCTGGCTTTGGGCCCTATGCTGTGTGGGTCACGGCATTAGACAAGACACTTAGCTTCTGTGTTTCATTGTTTCTCAGATTCATAGTTTTTCACCATTTAGCATCTCTGAAATCTAGATGGATCTTAAAACCAGTTCTTTTTAATCATACAGAAAAGATACAATTTACAGTTGATGATTTCTTGGATATGATCAAATGCAGTGTTTTGTCTTTTTTAACTATTGAGGTTAACAAGTTGCCTTACTGTTGGATCAACAGGGCTAATTTATTCTACCCATTCGCTGCTTCTTTGTGCCAGATGAGGCATTTTTATATTTCCTTTTCAAGTGTTATCTGACTTCATATAGTACCTGTCACTAATAAGTGTTAAGATTTTAGCTATTGTTATAATTGTTATTACTATTTTATTTAAATTTCATTAAACTCTGTGAGTGATAGTTTTTCAGGTATAACTGAAGATTCTGAGGCAAATTACAATGTAGGTTAATTTTAGCACTTTACTGCATTGCTTCTCAGCTCTCTTTACTGATAGAAACGCTCAAGTTAAATGATTCTTATCACCATTGTTCAAGCCAGTGGTTCTATTCACTTGATTGCTGCTATTCCTAATCTGTCCATTCTTCTAGTAATTACTTCTGTGTCCACATAGTTTAGTGGCTGACCAGTGATTGGTCAGACTTTGCTCAAATTCCTCAAATTGAGGTAGTTTTTAAGTCTTCCACAGCTTTTGCTTTCTGTTAAACTTTCTCAAGTCTCCTTTTATCTTTTGGGTTTTTTAAAAGACAGGGTCTCGCTGTGTAGTCCAGGCTTTTGTCAAACTCACGGTGATCCTCATACCTCAGCCTCCTGAGGTCTGGGATTACAGGTGTGTGCCACCACACCCGGCCTTCCCAAGTCTCTTCTGTGCTTGAATGCCAGCTCATGGTCAGTCAGGGATATGGGGGTTGTTTGGACCCTCTTTGGACTCTCCTGTGTGGATGCATAAATTGTTTATCAAGGCCCCTACTCTTTTGTCAGACCTTCCTATTAAATTTGTAGCTAGTTTGCCAGTCTATTGCTTATCTCAGCCAGAACTGTGTCCTCAGCTTCCCCATTCATATGCCATTGAGCTCCCTGGAGTTGTTTGGCTTAGTTTTTCTATGCTCCATTCCAGCTTGTTCTCTTCTCTCAAATAGAACAGCTTTGCAAGCCAAACTGGGGTGAGAGATAAAAGCAGCCTCAGACAAGAGTGGTATCCATTTTCCTGTTCTTAACCTGAAGTTGGTAGATTTTTATGAATAACTGGTCCTTAAATTGGCCTGTGCCTTTGTTTTTGTGATACTGGGGATCAAACCCAGTGGTGCTTTATGACTGAGCTACATACCCAGTCTTTTTATTTTTACTTTGAGAAAGGTTCTCATAAAGTTGTGGAGGCTGGCCTTGAGCTTGAGATCTTCCTGCCCTAGCCTTCTGACTAGCTGGAATTACAAGGTGTGTGCCACTGTGCCTGGCAGATACGTGCCTTTGGTTGATTTCCAGAGCCTTGAGACTGTTGTTTTCTAACAGTGTTGTCCAGTTTCATTGTTATTTTTTTGGGAGAAAGTTTTCTGAGCTATTCACTCTGCAGTGTAAGAAATCCCACCTTCATTCGTTCTTGCAGCACGGATGTTCTATTTGGGTTTACTTTCCATGTGTATAAAGTATACCCTTTTGAATTTTCTTTAATGAGCATATGTTGATTTCATACTCACACGTTTTCTTGTCTGAAACTGTATTTTATTTTGCATGAGAAGAGTATTCCTCTGAATGTAGAATTCTAGGTTGTCAATTATATCTTATTGTCAGGACATTGAAAGTAAAATTCTGTTGCTTTCTGGCTTCTATTTTTGCTGGTAAGTGGTCTGTGATTCCTTTGAAGATACACTTACTCATGTAGCAGTTAGGATCCTGTCTTTGTTTTGGTGTTCTGTAATTCCACATTTCATTTTTGTGTGTTTTGATATTTTTTAAAATTTTATTTGCCTTGCTTAGGACCTGTTGGAGATTTTATAACTGTGATTTAGTGTTTTTTTCTCTTTTTAAATTACTTTGGGATATTGTCACTATCTCCAAATAATGTTTTGTCCTCTTCTTTCATCTATTTTCTTCCTTTGGATTGCTTGTTAAATGCGTATCAGATCTTTTCACTCATGCTTGTTTTTAAACCCTTTCTCCATATTTTTCTTATCTTTCTCTGCCACATTCTTTGTAATTCCTTGCTCTAGGGAAGGTTGTCTCCTTACTCCTTATGGCAGCCATCCTGTAGACATTTATGGTTTGGGGTTTGGGAGGACTTAGTTTTGTTTCACTCACACACTGTGGATATATAGCCCTTTCCTAGTCCCAACTTAGTGTGGAAAGAGACTTTAAGACATGGATGAGGCCTGTGCTTGGGTCTTGAATTATGTCTTTGACTCCCTTGAAAACTACCAGAACCAAAGCCCTGGCTTGTGTAAGTCAGTAATGACTGCAAACAAAAGCTTTCCAAATCTCCATGTATTTTTCTATGCTCTTTCCTTCTGGATTTAGAAATACTTTGTTATGATTATGATTATTATTATTTAAAAATATTCTAGCCAGCATTTTCACTTGTTTTCAATGGGAAGATTGTCCAGGCTGCCATCATCAGAAATGGATGGCTTGTCTTCCATTTACCCCTTGGACAGTATAGTCTTTTATATTTACCTCTGCCCCCCCATATTTACTATGCCAGTGTTCTTCATTCCTTCTAGTAGCTCTGGATTCCTCGCTGGTACATTTTTCTTCAACCAGAAGAACTTCTACCATTTCTTGTAGTGTAGGCCAACATAATTATTCTTAGACCTTAATGTTATTTTCATATTTAAATGAAACCCTACCCCTATTTAGCAGGACTAGTACAACAGTTATAGTTAAGAGACTAGGGTAGCTTATATAAGTGGAATTCTGTTGATCTTAGATTAAAATTCTTGGGTGGCTGGGATTGAGGTTTTTATGCAATCCAATATAAAACTGATTGCATAAATGTGTGCTTTACTATGTTATCATGATATTTATTAATTTTCTCCTTTTGGATCCTCAAACATCTCTCTCTACCTCTCTTTGTTCAGGGAAAAAATTGGCACAAAGCTAAAAACAATTACCCTATACGAAGAACTTCTGCTTTACTGATTAATATAATATAAAAGTTGCTGGTTTAATAAGACTGATTATGCTTAAATTCAGCAATGAAAGCCCTAACTTTTAATAGAGGGGAAATAAGTGAAATTAAGTGAGGCATTATAGTTCTTTTCTATTGAGGTTATTAAAGCCCCTTAACAATTTGACTTTTCAGAGAGAGTTTCAACTATCTAGATGAAAAAGAATGTTTTTTTAGAAGCATAAAGCTGATCACGTAATTTTTAACTTTAAAGCCTTTCAGTAGTCCTACATCTAGTACAAAGTAAAGTGTCATCTCCTTGGTAAGGCATGAAAGATCCTTCAGCTTATTGAGTCCTTGATTGTCTTTCCAGCTTTATGTCCTGCCTCTTCTGCCAGCAGTTGTTCTTAGTTCTCAGTCTATACTTTGCTATTTCACAACTCTGATCCCTGATAGATCATGTTTCATTTGTCTTGTTTTAATCTGGTATAATCCTGCTTGTACTTTGAAAGCCACATTTCACAGCTTTTGATGTTTTTCCTGTTTTTTCAGTTTATTATTCCTTCTAGTTATTATTAAACTTTTCATGAAACAATATAATTATTATTTACTTTTTGTGGTGCTGGGATCAAACTCAGGACTTTGTACATGCTAGGCAGGTGCTCTACCATTGAGCTCTGTCCCAAGCAATGTAATTATTTTAAATAGAAATTTAAACTCAACTAGAAATTGTAAGCCCTTTGCGGGCATTGTTTATGTATTGGCTTTTACTGATCATATTGAATAAAAGAATGAATTACTATGTGAAGCCATGTCAGTGAGAGATGGCAACATATGCTCCTTTTAATGGCTGTAATAAGCAGGCAGATAAATTTAGAAGTACCATTATCACCCACTTTGTGCTAATTGGAATGTTGTTTTGGTTCACTTAAGTTTGCAGTCTAAGATGTTTATGAGGCCTTTGGTTAAAAACAAAACTATTTTCTACTTGATTGAAATAATTGTAAACAAGTTAAAGTCTTTCTGAAGCATATTTTTGTTTGTATCAACAGAATCCAACGTGGCGGAGTCTTGATTTTGGAATAATGCCAGATCGACTTGATACATCTGTGTCTTGCTTTGTAGTGAAGATATGGGGTGGAAAGGAGGACATTTACCAGCTGCTGATTGAATGGAAAGTCTGTTTGGATGGGCTGAAATACTTGGGTCAGCAGGTAATTTTTAGATTGTGATTTTAAGTGGTTGTCATCTCCAAATTAACCTGTCTAACCTTTCTATTTATTCTTCTGTCTGTACACTTTATGTTACAAAGAGAGACCTTTATGGTTGTTTGCTTGTATTACTTATGTTTGAGCTTAAAAAATACCTTTAGTTAAAGAAATTTAAGCTGCTAATTTAAGTTTTTTTATACATGTGTATGAGAAAGGATATGCTTTCTTACATCATTCTGCTTTGGATGTTCTCCCATAGAATCTGAAAATTAAGTAGAAATAAGGAATGTACCTCTCTTTTGACCAGAGAGTCAAGTTATTATAGGAATAAAAAGAACTACTGTTTATTGAGCATACGGGTGACAAATGCCTGGTTTATATACTACCTTCTCTTGTCTGCTGTCTCATGTGACTGATGTAGTTCATGAATCATAGAGCTGTCCTAGCTAGCTAAGCTCAAAAATGGCTCGATAATCCTTTCTGACAGTGTTCCAGGACACAACCAGCATCTATCAGAATTGTATATGAAATGAAACCTACATGCCATCTCAATATGTGCTTATTATAATTAATGTTCATAGCAATCTCGGTGAAGGTTGATGTTATTGCCCTTATTTTCCAGATGGGAAAATTGAGCCTCATAGGGTTTAAGAATGTGCTCAAGATTACACAGTTCACTGGGGCCAGGATTGAAATACAAGCCTAGCTGACTTAAAAAATCATTCTGTTTGTATTGTGCCACACTGGCTCATACATGTGGTCTACCTGGTAGGGAATGCCATTTCTCTTTATGATACTTATAGTACTGTTCCTAAAGGTAACCCTTAAATTTTAGTCATAGATTATTTGTAAATATCCTTGATATTTTCTTAGTATTTATTCAACATACACATTCTGTTTCTTTTTCTTTGTTTTGTTTTGAAACAAGGTCTTCCTTTGTAGTTCAGGTTGGCCCTGAACTTACTATGTAACCCTGACTGGCCTCGAACTTGTGGTGTCCTGCCTCAGTCTCCCAAGTGTTGGGAGTACAGGCATGTGCCACCATGCCCAGCTCATTCTGTTTCTTTTTAAAGGAATAATTTAATTTTTTTGTTTTGTTTTTCAGATTGAAAAAAATCTCTGCCCTCATTTTCCTTACCATGATTTAATTTTTTTTCTTTTAGACAGGGTCCCACTTTGTAGTATAGGCGGTGTCTTCTAATTTGTGATTGCTCTGCCTCAGCTTCCCTACTGCTAGGATTATAGGCATGCGTCACCATACCTGGCATATTTTAATTTTAAAAATTTTATTTCTTTCCAGTTTGGGGCTTTTGTACATGCTAGGTAATCACTGTACCACTGAGCTGTACCCCCAGTGCTACAATAGATCTCTTGAACTTCCTAACTGAAATTTTATAAACTTTGACCAACATCTCCCCTCTCCTCAGTCCCTGTTAATCTGCATTTTTCTCTCTGCTGAGTGCAGCTTTAAAAAATTCTACATACAAATGAGGTCATTTTTACCATATTTTAATTTTATGTCTTTCTGTAGTGACCAGAGCAATACATTGAATATCTGTGTTCCTTCCCTAACTAAACTCTAATCAATTATAATTGTTAAATTGTTTTTGCTTTTTATTTTTTTGTGTTTTAGGGCTGATCTTAAAGCATTGGGGTGGGGGAGGTGGCGCTGGGAAGTTGAACCCAGGTCCTTCTGACTACTAAGCCTATATTACCACTGGGCTACCAGGGCTGGTTTTAATTAAAACTTGCAAAATACAGTGAGGACATTTAGTTTAGGCCCTGTTGTAGTCAGCAGGACTTGGCAAGGGAATACATTAAATACAGGACACGTAATGTCTAAGATTATTTTATGATAGTTACCCAGAGAGTCAAATGCAGAGGAATGCAAGAGATTAACCATACACGAGAAACCCAAAGGATTCAGCTGAGAGCCTAGATCCTAGCAGTTTCCCACACAAATCCAGCTACAGGCTCAGAGTTCAAGCAGTGACCTCCAGGAGTCCAGCCAGTGGCCTTGAGACCATGGCAATGTCTCACACTTGTCCATATTGAGGATCTGCACTAGAAAGGCCCAAAGGCCAGTGGTGGAAGCCAGAAAATCTACGCTGGTGAGATTTGTGCCACCAAGCTGAGGGATCCCCATTGGAGCCAGGAAGTGATGCTCACGGTAAAGATCAGAGCTCCCTTGATGAAAACAGCAGCCATTCCCAGCAACAGTGAGGCCCCGAGCTCCTCCTCCAACAAGAACAACCTAGTTTGCATCAGGAAAACCATCTGCATCAAGCTTCTCCTAAAACATCAACAGGCCAAGATCTTCCCCTCCAGTTCTCTTTTTATGGCTATTGGTAACAATCCTCAAGTGGATCCTCCACACCCAGACCATGCTGATTCATTTCTGCTGGGCGTTACTTGTTGACTTGTTAATCCACTACAATCTTGTTACTTGTTACTTGTTAATCTACTACAATCCACCCCTGGTCAACTTGATAACCAAACATATTTCCTTAAACCATAGTCTCTAGTGGCACTTTTCCATTGTCCTGTTTTTCTTCAACTACCATGTTCTCCTCTGTTTCATCCTTGTAATCCACAGCTCTACATTACTTTTCTCTTGTTGCTGAGACAAAATACCTGACACCAAAAGTTAAAGGGTAGAGGTTTATTTGGCTTATAGTTTGTAGAGGTTTCAGTTCATAATCAGTTAGCTCTAAGGCAGGGATGGCAAGCAGGCATTGCAGAGGAGGAACAACATGACATGCACAAGGCAGCAATGGCAACAAGAGGCTACTGGCATCTTTCTGCCCCTTTTATCTTATTCAGGCTACTTAGGGTGGGTGCACTCACACCCTTAATCCTAGTGCCCTTAAGCCTAGCATTGCATCATGAATCATTTCCTGCTTCACACTTGAGATCAAGCCTATGACCACATGAGGCTTTGGTGGGGGGGCGGGGTGGCATCTAGACCCAAACCATATTAGGGCCTTTCTCTTCTCTTTTGATATGTGAGATATTTGTTCCTTTAGACTGCTTACTCAGACTCCAGCACTGAGGGACATACCCTGTTTATCTTCTCATATGACAATTTGGTTCCCTGTGAAATTTAGTATTTATCTTTCATATACATTTCCTGAAAGATGGTGCTTCTTAACATTGTGGCCACAGGGCTATAGGCCTGTAGATAGCCTTCGTCATATTATGCAACTTATACATTCCTTAGGTGGTAGGCTTCTTAAAGTACCCAGTTGCGCTTATGTCTAATTTGGCCTAATTTCAGAGTCAGCATTCAGATATCTCTTTAGGAAGTTGACTGTGGAAGGAAGCATGCTAGTATAAAGAGAATAAAAGAAAGAAAAAAATATGTTTTTTAAGCAACTAAAAACAGCATCATTACAGAAAGCCAGAATTTACCTATGACATAGGTGTAACAAATAACATACTACCAAAAATCAGATAAAGTAGAATAATAAATTTTTGGAGGAAAGTGAGTCTAAGATGTAGTAATGTAGTGGCCAGAATTAGCTAGATTCATTGACTAATCATATGCTTTCTACCAGACATTGTTCTTAATGATCCAGAAATGTCGATCTAGAGATGCAGAAGACAGGATTTTTAGACCCAGTAAACTCATGAGTGATGAATACGTTCATAGAGAGCATGCAAGAATAGGAAGAAGCATTTAGACCAGCCTGGTTAAACCCAGGGAAGGATGACTTCAGAATGAAATATATATATATTTTTAAGTCAGGTTTATTGTGGTATAATGTTCATAAAATAAACTCACCTTTTTAAAGTATACAGTTCAGTGAATTTAACAAATGTGTAGAGTTGAGTAAATACCACCATCACCGCCATAATGAATAAAGATGCTGTGAATATTTAAATATTGTTCTTTGCCTTGATACATGTTGTCATTTCTTCTGGGTAAATACCCAGAAATGAATTTGCTAAGTCTGCTGGTAAGCATATATTGAAATTCAAATGGTTTTCCAAAGTGAATATAACATTCTGCATTTACATCTGTAATGTATAATAGTTCCTTTGCTACATGCCTTTGCTAACACTTTTTATTGTCTGTCATTTTAACTTTAGCTGTTCTGATGGATTTGAAGTATTTGATTGTGGGCTTTTGTTTGCCTGTTTATTTTTGAGACAAGGTCTCCCTATGTGGTCCAGGCTGGCCTTCAGCATACTATGAAGCCTAGGCTGGCTTCAAACTTGCAATACTCCTTCCTTAACCTCCCTGCTACTGAAATTACAGGCATGCACCACCATGTCTGGCTTATTCTTGTTTTCTGTAATAACAAAAGGATGTTGAGTGTTGCCCCCCCTCCCCCGAATGTGTAATTTCCCCCTGTATGTGTGTATGTGTATGGTGGTTGTTCAGATCTTTTGCCCATTTTTATTGCATTGTTTGAAATCTTACTGAGTTGTAAAGATTCTTTATGTATTCTAGATATGACAGTCTTTCATAAGGTAAACATTTTCTAAGTATTTTCTCTCGGTCTTTCCATTTTTTTTGAGCAGTACCATTCAAAGAACATTATGTTTTAAAATATTGATGAAGTCTACTCTCAGTTTTTTCTTTTTCTTTTTCTTTTTCTTTTTTGGTACCAGGGAACCAACTCGGGTCCTTGCGCTTGCACAGCAGGCGGCGAAACCACTGAGCTAAATCCCTGGCCCTTATCAGTTTTTTCTTTTGAGTTTTATGCTTTTTTGTATATTCTTTCAGATATTTTTGCTTAACCCAAGCTTAACTTTTTTAAAAAAAGTTTTCTTTTGTAAGTTTTTATAGTTTTAGGCTTTACATTTATATATATATACATATATACATATATATATATATTCATTATTTTCCAGGTGGATAAAATTGTTTCTGTATTTTGTTCTAAGAGCTGTTATCTCTGTATTGAATTATTTTGTCATCTTTGTTAAAAATCACTTGTTGAAAGTTACTTATGTGGCTCTGTTTCTGGATTCTTTAGTTTTGATGGGCATATCTG